GTTTTTGTTTCAAATATGATTGTCCTTGTCAGCTTCCCTGAATCATAACCAATTTGTATTTCAAAAAATAGCTAGAGAGGTTGACAAATGTAATTTCAAGTTAATATTGTAATTTTTTTAATTTGAAAGTTTTTATAAAGTGAATACATTAAAAAATATTTGATACATATTAAATAAGTGGATAATAAAATTTTGATTTTCCATGTATGTGTATGTTTTGATGACAGTTTATATTGTTTCAAATATGCATAGGTATTATAAGAGAAGAAATTAAATTAATGCCCCCATACTCAACATGTGATTTCCCCTCTCCCTGCCTAAGCATTTCAAGAATTCAGGCCAGGATCACACAAAGTCACGTTGAGGCTAAAACAGCATTTTCCTCGTCTGTGGTTTTAGTCTGATGGGTACCCAAGGAAACAAATGCTGTCTACAGATGATCTTTGCTGCCTGCCCAAACATACTTATTTGTTATCAGCATTGGCCTTGCAGGATCTGGTTTCTCATCCTAACTAGCTGTGTAGGAACTAAAAGCCAGTCATTTCATCTCTGTAAAATCTCTCTGGACGAGATTATCTCTAAAATCCTTTCTAGTTCTCAAATCCTTTGATTTAATGGTTCTGTTCCAAATCTATCTGGTTTGGGTATTAGCTAGTTTGCATGGCCAACCAAGCCCCGATCCAGATGCAACAGGGCTCCTCCAGGTCTGTCACAGGAACAATACCTTTCTTCTATTCCATTACACTGGGTCGAGATAATGGGAAGTTATTTGTTGTTGTTGTTGTTTCTTAAATAAGAAAACCATAGCATCTGATGCATATTTTCTAAAGACTAGAGTCTTCTGAAATGTTTGTAGTAGTGTTTTTACATACCTGAATACAACATGTGATTTAAACACTGTTAATGTCCAAACCACCATGTTCGGAAAACGCAGGAAATGTCAGAAACTATTTGAGTTGCTTATAAATTGTATCCCAAAGCTAGAAGTTTACTGGATGGGAAGGACCATAAACACAGTAGCTTGGACAAGAAAGTCTTCTTTGAGGCCCTAAGATGGCTGGGTGCTTTACCCAAGCACTTTCAAAGCACCCTGTCCTTGCCCCTACTGTCACACCCAAAACTGTTATTTCATTGTTAGTCTCCCTGATTACACACTGCAAGTTCCTTGAGGGTAGGGATTGTGCTTGTTCATTGATGTACCCCTAGGGCCTGACACCTAAGGACTCCATAAATACTTGCTGAATAACTGTTGAAAAAGTAACTGGCTACCCTCACTTATTGATCTGCCAGGAGCAACAGAAGCAGGCAAGAATAGCACCACATGACATAGTAATAAGAGGCGCCATTATCAAAGTATGACTGATGGGATGCCTAGAAATTTCCATTCAATGATGTCCCTATAGTATGTCATACTATACCTGCCTACTCTTGAGTAGCACCAAAGGATACAAGACATTTTGATGGGACCATTTTGACTATGTATCCAACTCTTACACATACCTCAGTAACATTCGCAAAGAGTGTACTACGCACAAACAGCTAAGCACAAAGAATGAATACTCCTCAAGGGAGGAAAAATGAGTTGGTGTGGGGTATATTTTAATAGGAAATTCCTCTGGCTACATTTTATAGAATCTAGATAGAGTATCTATTATGAAATTGCTCAGCATATCCTTTGGTAAAGGATTAACAGAACCTTTTCTCCTTCCTTGTGAGAATTTGACCTTGGGTTAACTTTCTAGCTCTGTTCCCCTGGCAACCTAATAAAGAGTAGTATATCAGCTATGTTGCTAGGCGACATTACATATGGTAGAAATGACCCTAAAGTGGTAAACAGCATCCAGACCGGGAGAACGACAGATGCCTGATGGAAGGCCACAGCTGTGAGCTTCCCTCACTACAGTGACTCTCGGAATACACGTGTCTCTTGCAGGGACCCTGGAAGCTATTTCTATGGAGTTGTTAATAAGAGGTACTTGCTCCCATGGGACAAGAGGCTTTTAAGCCAGAAGAGCTACCATACTTGCCTGATGTGGGTCTGTCTCCTTGCGCTGAGCCACATGGACAGATGCAGGCACTCCGACAGAGGAGCAACATCTGGCTCTGCCCTCCTGGCCAGCTGTGCTTCCCATCCTATGCCCTTCTCAGTGGGTCTAACATGGAAGTTTTTGAGTGTGAATGTTTCTGAACATTCATTTGAGCCTACGTAGACCCCTGGAGGGCACTACAGTCTGATTTGCTTGCTTTTTCTGGTGGTAGTAGAAGCTCCACAGAGAGTATGAATGGTGAAAAGATGTGAAACTGTCCAGCATGTTCTTTTGCTTCCAAAAAAAAATTCCTAATTATACCCTTCACAGTCTGCATGACAGTTAATCCACATCCATTACACATCACTAAGACATCTATCTCAAATTGATGCCTCCCTTTGAAATCCCCAAGCTTATTCCTGCTCAACTTTCTTCACCTAAGCACATAATCCCAATCCTAACCCCCACTGATTTTTAACATGCTACTAGAGGTCTGAAAAAAATCAAATGATAGATATAGAAATTGCTCCCCTAAACCACAGTTGTCCATGAAGAATTGGCAGTAGTAAAATTTCCATCTGGAGGGTCAGAACTCATGCTAAATGCCCTCCTTAAGTTATGAAGGTTCCATATCATCTGATCACAATGGTGTGAGTTAATGTCATCTTTAAAACTAGGACATATTGGAAACCAACTGAACTATACCTGCCAAACAAAAAACTTTTCATTTATCTCTACAGAAGCATTATTTGAAGAAAAGAATTCAAGTTTTCAGAGCTTAAATGAAAGGTTTGAGGAACACAGCAATATTTGGTGGAAATATGGAACAAAAATCAGTGAAAACATTGCCTATCATAAGCAACTGAATAAAGTGCCCCCATTTTTGAGTTAGAAGATAATGTGACCATGGGAAGGCACAGAGCAAGCTACAAGAGTTCAGCAACGAGAGGAAGTGATAATGCTCAAGACAGAGCGTCATAGGACTTCTCACCCACCCCAACCCCTTGCCCCTCCCTACCCCATCACACTAGACTTCACAGAGACAGTTCTATTGTCAATGCACAAAGGACAAGCAAGAAAAACCTAGAAGTCCAAATGAAACAGTTTGAATTCAGTTGACCAAGGCCACTCCAGTCTTCCCCACTGCCCTCAGAATCAGTGCATGCAGCCCTGTCTGTTGCCTTTCTCTCTGTGGGGTTTATCACAACATCAGTTAACAACAACAACAACAAAACTCATCATAATATTCCGAACCTCCAGAATACTCAATTTCACAACATTTTGCAGACCACTAGGTCAATAGCTTTCCTAAGGAACATTCAAAGTCTAGTGACCACCAAAATATTTACATCAGGTTGGCATCTTTCTGCCAAATGACCAGAAGCCACGATGCTCTATGTCATTTCTAAATTTACTACAGATACAGGCCTTATTTACATTCCTTTCGATCCCTTGCTATGAAAGCCTGTCCCCTTCCCTTAAGAGAAACAGCTTCCCAAGGACGCCATTTTAAAATTCCACTGCAAGTAAGAATCCTGTTCCCATCCATGCAACATATGTAATAGGACTTCCAAAAAAATTCTAATCATACCCTTTATAGTCTGCATGACAGACAAAAGGACCCCTTGGTGAACTTGGATTGAATGTACCAGAAAGATGCCAGATATAAATTAAATCCCTAATGATCTGCATTGGGCCTAACTGTGAGTTTACTTATAAAAATATCACCAACTCCACAAATTAAACCTCAGAGACACTGTGCAGATTATAAACACTGACTGCCATAAATACTGAACATAAATTTAAAAACTGAGGGCAGTTTATGATCTGATAGTCCACACAGAGGAAGTTGCTCCTTTAAAAATGACAGAATACAGTGACCAAATTCAGTTATTCCCAGTGCCAATCCACAAACTCCAAACAGCTAACCAGGGGCACAATAATGTAAGACATTATAGAAGAAAGAGAATCATTTAAATATAAGCTTTCCTCCCAATGATTTTGCCACTTTAAAATTTAATAACATGATCACAGTCCAGAAATGATTCTGGCAGTATGAATCAGATTGGAATTTCTAAGTTTCCACATCACAAACCTAACCAGATCTTGGGCAAGTTGTAAAGAATCTGGCCTCAGCTATATAATTAATATAACTAATCCACTATTTTCCAAAACTTGTGGGAACATAACTTAATATTAATATTATGAATGTAAAAGGTAGCCTAAAATATAGCACAAAATTAAGTTCACTCATTAAAGTTATCATTTTTTAAATCCTGCTTTATCTTACAGCTGGTTTCTCAACCTTGGTACTCTTGATATTTTGGACTAGATCCCCCTGTTGCAGGGGCCGTCCTATGCATTGTAGGATGTTCAGCAGCATCCCCTGCCTCTACCCTAATGATGCCAGCAGCACTCTGCCCTGAGTTGTAACAATGGAGAATGTCTCCAGACATTGTCAGATATCTGTCCTCTGGGGGCAAAAACACCCCCAGTTGAAAATCACTGTGTTAGAATAAAATCTCTAATGTAACTTTTTTTTTAATGGAGGCAGTGGGGATTGAACCCAGGACCTCGTGCATGCTAAGCACCCACTCTACAACTGAGCTATACCTTCTCCCTCTAATGTAACATTTTTCACTTTGCACCCAGTGATATGAATAGGTCATGGAGTCACCAGAGAAGATCATTGCTCTGCTAGAGAAAGTAGGCAGAGAGTTGAACCGTGAGGTAGAAAAGTCATATTAAAACATCAGAAATACTTTAAACAGAGATAGCCAAAATATCAGACACGACTCCTTGCAAAGTGTATCTTCTACACTTCCATTTAGGTTTCCGTTTTGTAAGGTCCCTCTTTTAAAGCAACACTAATATTTTAATGTCTGGTAAGAAAAGTGTTTCTGGTCCTTGCTAACTTTCAATGTGTAACTCTTGATCTAGAACAACAATTTTCAAACTCTCTCTGGTAAAAGACCGGGTTTTTAAATTTCCAATCTACTGTAGACTAATGTGTGGTCCTACTGTGTAGATTAGGATCAAAGAATTCACAGAACAGCAGCTGTCTCTGGCCACAGTTTGAGCAGCGCCATCCTAGGGTTCTAACTTCTATTGAAATGTACAGTGTAAACATCTTCTGAACTCTTCAATGACTAACATTTATTCACAAGCCAATTTTTAATGTTTTTGATTATCTCTTTTGGTTCAAGAGGCAGAAAGGAAAGTGATTTTTTAACCACCTTTTGAAATTCAATTATAGTTAAAACTAAAGGAAGAAAAAGGGTTTTTTTAAAATCCATTTTGGATATTTTAACATAAGACAAAATTATTTAAGTGACTTAAATATCTTTAATCCTTAATATTTCCAGCTTTTTAGCCCTTTAAAGAAGTAGTCTCTTTTGTTAGAATAATTGTATGGCTGCAAAGTGGGTGAAAAGCAGACTGGTTTTAAAACTTGTTCTTCTCCTAACTTCCCCTTGCCTTTCAGAGGATCTTTTAAAAGGTAAACAATTTAGAAATACAACTCACTTATACAGGCTTACCCTTTCCCTCCAATTAAAGTTCTACTCATAAACAAAGTAAAAGAATGTCAACGGGGGTCCATTTCGAGGGTACACAGCAGTGGCTCTTGGAAATGGCTAGAAAATGCAGGGGAGCATTTTTAGTGTTGCCCAAATGACTTCTTTCATGACCATAAAACAGATTATTTTGTGTGTGCAGAATTGTCAAATACCAAGCCAGACAGGGAAACCACCACGACCTGGGTTCACAGGCTCCCTTCCCAGGGTAAACTTAAAATTTAATTCAACAGGGCAAGCCAGAGTGACATAAGGAGCATTTCAGCTCATTTCCATGCTTGTCTGCACATAAATCACCCCCAGCCTTTAAAATTGCAACCTTAGATTTAGAAAGTTCCTTTTACAGTCATATAGCCAGATGGCCCTGCCTGCCTTATATCAGTGAAGCTTTCTCCTTAATACTTCCCAAGAAAAGTAAAGTATGGAATTCATTAGGAGAGGCTTGGCTGAGGTAAGGCTGATCTCAAAACTTAATATATTCTTGCCCACGTTTTCAGAGAAAGGGGCTGATGACACGAATGCAGAGAATTGAGACACTGTGAAAACAAGCATGGAGATTTTCTTATCTTTCTCCAAACCAGACTTTGTGGCACAGCAGGAAAAACGGGAGGCCCCAGGGACGACCTCGATTCACTCAGAAAGCCTTCGCAAACCAGGGGCACCACACTAAAAAGTCATTAATCCTTTCAGTCACAAAATCCAACCTCCACCATGTAGTCTAACAGAAATGCAAATAATTAGCTGTGAAAAGATGTCCTCTCAAGGTCCCACAAAACTGGACGAAGGGTGGCTTTCAATCATAATTAACAAGAACAGATTCTAAACATTCTTCTCCACCAACTGACCGCTATGTAAATGTCTCTCGACCTGACAGGTTGGGCCGAATTTGGGGTCTGTCTCCAGAATCATCTCCGGTGGGCTCATTTTCCTCACCAGATTCCACATAGACTGGCCAGTCATTGTCTGTGTCGCTCTTTTCCTGGCTCTCGGACGAAGCCTCCGCCAGGCTGAGGTTGATGGGCATCGATTCATCATCATCGTCGTGTGTGTCTGCAACGCAGGTGCAGCTGTCACACAGCCCGAAGCGCCGCAGCCCCGGCGACAGGTGACTCGTGAAAGTTCTTCTGCAGCCCTTGCAGATGATTGGACGGTTAGATCTATGGACCTAAAATCGCAAGCAGACGCAGTAAATGTCACAGAAAATGGACTGAGCATGGCCTTCAAGGCCCCATGCAACATGGCCCCTGGCGGAGCCTCCAGCCTCATTTCTTACCGCCCTCCCGCTTGCTCTCTCTGCCACAGCCTCAGCCTCACCAAGGTCCTTTCCACTCCAGGGCCATCGGACATGCGTGGAATGTGCCATCCTTCCCGTTGCCACCCTCTTCCTCCTTACTAATGCCTTTCAAGGAAGTCTTCTCTGATGTTCCAGGCCAGATTAGATCCCCCAGTGGTATAGTCTCACCTATGCTTCTTCCTTTTTTTTTAACTTTTTTTTAACCTATTTATTTATTTCTTTAGATGGGGGTAGAGAATTAGGTTTATTTATTTTTGCTGGAACTGCTGGGTAATGAACCCAGGACCTTGTGCATGCTAAGCACGTGCTCTACCACTGAGCTATACCCTCCCCCCTTCTTTGTTTTATTTCTAACAAATCATTGGTAAAATTCACTAGATGATATGCTCCAAGAGGTCAGGGACGATCCTCATTCGTGTTCTCTGTTCTCTATCACATTTGTTACTATACCCTAGTGTCTGGCACATAAAGGGTACTCAGTGAACCGATCAGGATTTTAGGCATGGTTTCTTATGTGCCTTGGATTGTTTAGTTATTAAGAAGGTAGATTTGCCGGATAGTGTATTCCCCAAACATGCCAGCAGATGCTTCACCTTTGACTTTTTCGTTGACAAATGCATTCCTTACTTATGAAAAGAGCTTTGCATACTAGAAAAAACCTGATCTTCTAACCCATGAAGCTCCTTGTGAGGGCAGCAGCCCCAGGGGTCCCCTCTGTATAAGGAACTGTATTTCTAATGTGTGCACTCTTCAGGAACTCCAGCCAAAAGTGGGTCTGTGAACCAATCAGAGCTTCTCTTTTAGAGAGTTCTGGACAAGAGGCAGAGACAGAGAGAGGCTGATGCAGGAGAAGGGCCAAAAATGATACCCAGGTTGCTGGACTTGCTATTACATCCTGACCAATGTCCCTGCTTCTCATGAGATCTTCTGGGCCTCCTATGCTAAACCCTCAATACCTGAGCCAACCTGAGTGTGCATGTGACCCTTGCACCCCAATGGGACCTTTGACTACCACCTCTTTGGGCTGCAGTAGACTGGACCTAGTACAAAGTGGAAAAATAGAATAAGGATTCCAACCAATGAAACATCTAAGAGGCACCCAGGGACCTCTTGCTGCCAAGATGGACTGGAGATATAATTGGGGGGGGGGGGAGACAAACAAACAAAAACTTAAGACTCTGGGATAAGACCATTCTCAGACAAGTGTGCTGGGGCCAGCCCTGACAGCTGAGGCAGTCAGTAACCTGGTACTTATCTTAAATCTGGATTCTTTCAAAACCATAATTCACATACCATAAAGTTCACCCTTTTAAAGTGTACAATTCAGTTGTCTTTAGTATACTTATCAGGTTGTACAACCATCACCACCATCCAATTCTAGAACATTTCCATGACTCCATAAAGAAAGTCTCTGCCCATTTACGTCATGCCTCTCCCATTCCCACATGCCCCGAGCCACTGGTAACAACTAATCCACTCCCTATCTCCATGGGTCTCTGCCCAATTTGTACATTTCATATAAATGGAATCACATAACAGGTGGCCTTTTGTGACTGGTATCTTTCATGTAGCATAATTCTTTCAAGGTTACACCATGCTGTAGCATGTATCAGGACTTCACTTCATTTTAAGGCTAAATAATATTTCATTGTATGGATGTACCGTATTTTGTTTATTCATTCATCAATTGATGGACATTTGGGTTGTTTCCACTTTTTTGCTTAATATGAATCATGCTGCTATGAACATCTGTGTACAACTTTTTGTGTGAATGTATGTGTTCAGTTCTCTTGGGTACATACCCACATGTAGAACTGTTGGGTCCTAAGGGTAATTTTATGCTTAACCTTTTGAGGAATTGCCAAACTGTTCTCCACAATGGCTGCACCATTTTACGTTCCCACCAGCAATGTATGAGGTTTCCAGTTTCTCCACATCCTCGCCAACACTTTTGTTATTTTCTGTTTTTTGATTATAGCAGTCCTAGTATGTGTGAACTGGCATCTCATTGTGGCTTTGATTTGCATTTTTCTAATGATGCTGAGAAGCTTTTCATTTGCTTATTGGCCTTTTGTTTATCTTCTTTGGAGAAATGTCTATCACATCCATTGTTTAATTGGGCTACTTGTCTTTTTATTGTTGAATTGTGAGTTCTTTATGTATTCTCGTTATTTGATCCTTAGCAGATAAATGATTCATTGAGATTTTCTCCCATTCTATGGCTTGTCTTTTCACATTCTTGACAGCATCCTTTGAAGTCCAAACTATTTTTTTATGTTGGATTTTCCAGAGACTGGATTGCCTTGCTCAAAGATGATCTTAAATACAATGCCTTTCTAAATGGCCTGAATGCTTTTTAGCAGGTGGCAGTCACCCACTCACATGGGAGACAGACACCTAGGCGGCAGCCAGCAGGAGGGGAGATCCCCTTGGACAGGGGTCCTCACTGCTGCCCACAAATAGCTCTATAAATGAGCAGCATACTTCTTCCTCACCCCGGGGTTGGGTGGGAAATCGAGGATGCAGCTTATCTTTGGCATCATACCAGAGGGAACAGACTCACAATCCCCTACCTAAGCCCCAATGTTCTCTACCTTTTGACAGCCATCCCTGACTAGGATCTGAACTTTCTTGACTTTCCTCCTAAGCAGACTAGTCTGTTACCATATAAATTTTAACTCTCTCTAAGTGCTACCAACCCAGCTGTAATTTTGTAGTGGAAATACATATTTTAAATTCTCTGAAAATACCTCAGTGGACAGAGAAATGAAAGACAGGCTGGCTTTACCCTTACATTAGACAAATGTCATGAACCACCCTGGCTGTCCTGAGAAGACTGCCGGCTCCCACACTTACGCTGAGCGCGTGGCTCCGCAGATGCTCCTGTCGAGTGAACCTCTTGCCACAAGTCTCACAGGGGTAGGGCCGCTCCCCTGTGTGTGAGCGGATGTGCCGCTTAAGGATGCCCTTCTGTTTGGCAGTGTAGGGGCAGAAAGGACACTTGTGCAGCTTGATGGGCACCACCAGCACATCACCTAGGGAACCAAATGGATTGATTTAGCTGGACTGTACACAGCAGCAACACCACCCTCCGATGGGTGGGATCCAGAGTGGGGGGATTCCACCCGCCCAGATGGAGAGGAAGGACCCCAACTACCAGCAGCTACAGCAAGACAATGTCTGCAGATTCCAACTCTGCCTGGCTCCCAATCAGCCAGAGGAGAAAGCGGGCTTCTGATATAAGGCTGCAAGGAATGCTGTAGAGCATCAGCTTTCAAACTTCTCTGTGATTCACAGTTAGAAACATAGCTTACATTACAACCTTACAACACACATACCTGTATGTGGATAACTTGAAAAGCTTCCCCAAATAATACTCACTCTGATAATGTCTGTTCTCCTTGATTTCATTGTAGGAGACCCTGTTATAGACTGAATTGCATCCCCCACAAATTCATACGTTGAAGCCATCACCTCCAATGTGACTATATTTAAAGACAGGGCTTTTAATTAAAAAAAAAGTTTACAAATAAAAAAAATAAAGACAGGGTTGTTAAGGAGCTAATGAAGGTTAAATGAAGCCATAAGGGTAGAGCTCAATCTGATAGGACTGCTGTCCTTATAAGAAGAGGAAGTGATACCAGAGATGGTTTTCTCTCCCTACTTGCACAGAGGAAAGTTCATGTGAGGACCAGCAAGAAGACAGTCGTCTGCAAGCCAGGAAAAGAGCTCTCGCTGGAAACCAACCTTGCTGGCACCTTGATCTTGCACTCTGAGCCTCCAAAACTGTGAGAAAACAAATTTCTGTTGTTGAAGCTACTTAGTCTGGGGTATTCTATTATGGCTGCTTGAGTTGACTAATACAGGCCTTCTGAGTTGATCTCATGACTCTCAAATGTTTGAAAAAACTCTGTTATGATGGATGGACCAGGATTCATGCTTTCTTTGACAGTAGCTCCTAGGAATAGCTTCCAGGCATGTCTAGAAGAGGTTTGCTCTGATGCAGACCCTACATTGTTCAGAATTCATATTAACTCTATATATCTGAAATCATCAAATATCTAAAAAGTCACTGAAATCTTTTTCCAATTCTTTTATTTTTCACCTTGTTCATACAACCACTAAGGTGACAACATGATTATCACCCACATGTACAGAAACTGATCCTTTCAAGTTTCCTGAGTTATCCTTCGGCCATTTTCCAAGATTTGTTTCCTCTCTCCATGCCCTTCAGGATTTTACGGACTTTGATTACATCATATCTTATATGAAGGCACTAGTAATTCAAGCTTTCCAGGCACAGAAACCTGGGTTCAAGTCCTGGCTCTACCACTTACTAGCTGTGTGACCTTGGACATCTCACTTGACTTCTCTGTACTTTACCTTACTCATCTGTAAAATAGGGATGATAATAGTTCCCATCTCACAGTGTGAAGGAAAAGTTGGGATGGGCTAACAAGATAACTCACAAGTCTAAGAATGTGAAAGAAAAGCTGGGCTGGGCTAACAAGAAAAGCCGGGTTGGGCTAACAAGGTAACTCACAAATCTAAGTATCGGAATACTGATCTAAGTTCTGCTGGACTAACTCATAAATCTAAGTTAATTAGTGTTGGTTTGCTGATTCCCTGTTCATGTTTTTTTTGCTAGCCAGCTGGATTTTCAAAGAGATATATCTGGCTTTGGGATGTTGGTTTGCTGCCTCCCTGCCTCCACTTTTGTGATAATGATGCTGCTAAAGCTGTTCCATGCCTATTGGCCGAATACCCCAAGCTTGTACTTAACTCTATAAAACCTCACATGCACGTCTTGGAGGTGCTCAGAGCTTCGGAGCAGAAGCCCCTCTGAGCCCGCCGGCGTAATACATCTGAGTACTCCAACCCTCCGAGTGGTGCTTGTTTCTTGGCTGGCCTGTCGTTTCCATAACAATAGGATTGTGGTAAGAATGAAATGAGGTAATGTCTACAGCACAGCAGCTGGTACATAGTCAGCTCTCATAAATGTTAGCCATTTTTGTCACCATAATTATTGCCTCGGTGTTTCTTTCCTGATCAAGCTGACCAGGCTCTTGGGGTCTCTCTCAATACTGGAGTAACTCCTTTTCTCCCGGACCTTCTCAGGACACCTAACTGGGCTTTACCTTTCTAGAGGTGCTGCCAAAAGTATGGCAAGCTGAATTGACAGTGAGAACCCAACATCCCCATGTAAGGGTGGGGATTTTTCTCTTTAGTTTCTAGTTCCCACCCTGATGATATCTAACATTTTGCATAATCTATAGTGACTCCAAAATCTGCTTCCCAGAATAAAAGAGGGAGTTCATGGCTCAGCACTGGACACACATGTTGGATTGTTTATTTCTCACTGATCACATTGGTGCTGAGATGCTCACTCCTTTGGCACCATGGCCTCTTCCCATGATTTATCCCCATCAGCTTGGCACTATACTATAACCTTCTTCTTGATTATCTGCAAAAACATTAAGTAAAATGGGTCCAGTGTTAATCCCTGGAAAAAAACAACTATTGACTATTTCCCCATCAGAAAAGTATGAATTATTGCAACACTTTCCTTCCTCTCTTATAATCAGATTCCCCCAAAACAACAGCTCACTTGAATGCCTGTTACACACGAGGCACTATGTCAAGGTTCATCTTTACCAGGACACCTGTTTCCTCCCTCAAGAAGTTACGTCTAGCAGGAGAGAAAGATATGTAAACAAATTCATACAATATAACGTCACACATGCAAGGTTCAAAGTGATGGAGAAATGCACACAAGAAAGTAATGAATTCTCTCTTGAAGTGCAGAGAAAATTTCACAGGAGAAGTGACCTTTGAGCAAAGTTTGTTTTTGTTTTTAATTAATTAATTAATTTTAAGGGGGAGATAATTAGGTTATTTATTTATTTAAATGGAGGTACTGGGGATTGAACGAACCCAGGACCTTGTGCATGCTAAGAACACACTCTACCACTGAGCTATACCCTACCCCCAAGCAAGGTTTTAAAGGATGAATAGGAGTTATTGGGAGTTCAAGAAACAGAAAGGTGTCTCAGGCAGAGGAACAAAACATGCTTAGGCACAGAGGTAAATGAGAATATGGAATATAAAGCAGGGTGGAGAAGAATAAGGAATGAAAAAAAAAGGCAAGATCTTCCTTGTAAAGGTCACATTCTTGCATTTATTCAACAAATTCATACTGGGTACCTACTGTGTGTCAGGTTGTGTTCTAGGCCCTGTGGATACAGCAGTGGATAGAAAAGACACCAAAAATCCCTGCCTTTGTGATGTTGACATGTTAAGGAACTTGGACTGTGTTCTCTAACCAGCTAGGGTTTTAAGCAGGGAAGGTACATGATGAGACTTGAATTTTAAAGGACCCCTCTGGGGATAATGCAGGGGAAGGATTTAAGAGAGGCAAGATTAAAGGCAAGAAGTCCAGGTAGGAGGGGGTGAGTGATAACATGAATTAAAGCCATGGCTGTGGAGGTAGGGAGGAGGAGATAGGTTTGAGAAGTAAAATTAACAGTAGTCGATGACCACATTGGGGAGGAGAGAGCAGGGAAGGAGAAGATTCTAAATGACACTGATTCTGGGTTAGCTAACTTGGTAGGAGATGGTGGAATAAACGAGGCAGGGAATTTGGGAGGAAAACCAGGTACGGGATGAATGAGGAGGTCAGTTTGGATTTTATGATGTTTGAAGCAGGCTCAGAGCATCCATGGGGGCAATAGCTGGGTCAGACAGATAAATGTGGAGCTCAGAGAAAGGAGGGAAGAAGATAGTTTAGAGAGTCCTCAGCAGACTGGAGTGGTTGCTTTAACTGAGGCCTGGCTCTCCCGCAAGCACCCTGCTTCCCTTATCTCATTGCCTTGACACCCTGGACAGAGAAGGGTACTTCACTGTCATCTCCAGACCACTGTCCCTTCCTCCTTCCTTAAAAACCCAAAGATCTTTTGAAGCTCATATCACCAGATGATACTGCTACTCACCCCGGTTAGTCATCCAGGAGCCCCCAGTCGTCTGCTCATTCCTTGGAGGTTTGATCACCTTGCCTCCAGGCACGACACCTGGCATAATTCTTGATATGAATTGAAAATGACCCTTCCAACACCCTGACCTCTCTTTTCCTTGACTTCCTTTCTTCCACAGACCTTGTCCTCCACTCCACCTCAGCCATCCAATCCTACACAAAGAGCTCTCAGTTCTGCCTGCGTATTAGAATAACCTGGGAAGCTTAAAATTAAAAACAATACTGATGTCCAATCCCCGTCCCAAGCAAACAGATAAGGTGGAGCCCAGGCATCATATTTTTAAAGCACCCTTCCCTGTCTAATGTAGAGAGAGGGATGAGAATCATGGCCCCATATCTAGATATTGCCAATAACTGTATTCACTCCATAACCCACATTTCAAACACTCCACTTTCCAATCACCATCTTGCATCCTTCCAGCTCACCCCCATAGTGTTCCTTCTCCACTGGGATGCCCCAGCCATAGACTATATCATCATTTTACTGCCCTTCCCCTCCTCGATCCTCATTCCCCTCTTTCCCCAATTTAGTGCCTATAGTCCATCAATGAAATCACTCCTTCGCATATACCTTCAACTGCCTTGGTCCACTATCTCCCTCTATCCGCATTCATCTAGTTAAATAAAAAAACTCTCTGCCTATTGTGTAGGTGAAACAAGGCAAGCTAACATCATTGGGAAAAAAATACACAGCTGTGTTCTGGTTGCACTTTGAACCCATCCAACCATCACCATCTGACTCCATTCCAGCCACACCAGCATCCTTCTGTTCCTTTTGTTCACTCGCCAAGTGTGATCCTCACCTGGGCCTTTGCATCTTGCTCTTCCCTCTGCCCGGAATGTTCTCCCTGATAACTGTACAGTTTGTGGTCTTACTCAAGGTTTCTGCTTAAAGACAACTTGTTAGAAAGACCTTCCTGGTCAACATTAAATAAAACAGCAGCCCTCCTCTCTCTACCAACCATTCCCCTGCTCCAGCTCTTCTTCATACTATACATGTATTTTTTTGTTTATTGTCCGGCTCCCTACACTAGAGTGTCAGCTCTGTGTGGACAAGGACTATCTTTTGTTCACTGTGATGAACAGTGCCTGACATATAGTAAGTGCTCAACAAATTTCTGTCAAAGAAATGAATGAACAGAAATGATAAGATGTTGAAGAAGCAAGGCAATGATGGAATGCTGACACACCGATACTTAACGACCCCATGATGAGGCTGGGAAGGAACGGGCAGAGGTAAGAGCAGTGGGTACTTCTGGTGTCACAAGCCAGGGGAAGAAAGTATTTCAAGAAAGAAAGATCAGCATTAACTACCAAGAGAGGTCAATTAAGGTAATACCTGAAAATCATTCATTGGATCAGCTCTGGAAATGTAGAGCTGACCTCATGACAGCAGTTTCAGGAGTGGGTGGGAGGTAGGGGTGGGAGCCAGACCACAGTGGGCTGAGAAAAGAATGGGGAGTAAAATAGTGGAGGTGGCCAACATAAAAAAAACTTTTCAAGAAGTGATGGGAGGAGCTGGGGTTGGGAGGTCCAGGGGAACAGAGATTATAAGAGGTCCATATGCTCTGATAGTGGCTACTAACGTCAGGGATGAGCAACATGAATCCAGAACTATGATGACAGCCTCCCGACCATCTCCCTGCCCTGGCCACCCATCTCTGCACCATCTTGTGCTAAAGCCAAATTAATCTCTCTCATCCACTCCCAAGCTCAGAATCTACCAAAAATTCCTCTGTGCCTACAGATAGCACCTCACCTCTTAGCATTTAAAGTTTTCCATGATCTGATTCCAGTTTCTCCCTCTGTCTTCTCTTCTTAACCTCAGATGCCACATTTTTTTAAATTTAAGTATAATAATTGATTTACCACATTGTGTTAGTTTCAGGTATGCAACAAAGTGATTCAGATATATATACATACGCACATATACATTCTCTTTCAGATTCTTTTCCATTATAGTTATTACAAAATATTGAGTCTAGTTCCCTGTATTATATAGTAAGCGCCTGTTGTTTATCTATTTTATATATAGTAGTGAGTACTCAGATGCCACTTTCATGAAGCCTCTCTAATCTACCAGTAGGAAGCCAGTTCTGCTTTTGGACTGCTGTGAAACACACCTCCATCTGTCTTCCAGCCCTAATACCTTTTTACCATGTGGTGCTATTTACACGTCTGCGCTCCTCTAAGAACCCCCTCAGTTCTTTGAGAGCTGGATCTATGCCTGATTTATCTCTGTATCTTCACAAGCATGGTGCTCAAATACTTGAGCAAATAAATGAATGACCAAACAAATCAGTCCTACTCTGTGCCTTGGCACTTGGAATAAATTTACCCTAGAGCCATGTGAATGGAACCAAAACCTGGCAGACAACAGCATGGCCAGTGGCCAGGGTGGCTGCCCTGCTATCACAGGCCCCTGTAGTTGGAAAACTGACTTTATAGACTGACAGATGGACTTGGGTGGAAGTGGCGTAGAGCTAAATTACTATTTCTTGATACTTGGGCTTATAGGCAGGGGGTTGAGAGATGAAACCAATGTACTGAAATCCTCTACCCGCTTGTGCTGCCTTCGCACTTTGCTTTATGAGTGAAGTGAAGCCAGCCCGAGTTTCTGGCTTTAGCTGTGTCACTCACCAGTTCTGCATTCTTTTTTTTTAACTTCTTTTTGTTTAATTTTCAATGGAGGCACTGGGGACTGAACCCAGGACCTTGTACATGTCAAGCATGCACTCTACCACTGAGCTACCCCACCCTCTGCATTCTTAAGAAATGCACTAAACCCTCTGGGTCTCAGTTTCTCCACACATCCTCTGCCAAGTTCACGGGGCATTATGAGGATCTAATGGATGGGAAATGGCAGACACAGTCAGTGAAGTGCTTCTATACACATGGGAATTAGATTTGAACAAGTTCCCATACTGTGTTCACTGAAAACAGCCGCTACTTTGTAAATGCTGGTTAAGCCATTGTCTCTGAGGACAAGAAACAGTATTCTCAAGTTTTTCAGGTTTTAATCAGACAATCAAAGCATTCTTTTTTTTTAAGTAAAATTAAAAAGTCTCAGGGGAGGGAATAGCTCAGGTAGAATGCATGCTTAGCATGCACGAGGTCCTGGGTTCATTACCTCCATTAAATAAATAAATAAATAAATAAACCTAATTACTTCCCCTCAAAAAACAAAACAACAACAAAAAAAGTCTCAAGACAGTTTCAGTTTTCCTGGGTCTCTCCTATATGTATATGTTATTAAACTTTTGTTTGATTTTCTCTTGTTTAAAAAAAAAGTCTCAAGACAGCTATTTAGTAGTGAATAAAAGCAGCTGATCTTCCCTTAACGTGATCGAATTTCGCTGCTCAATACTGAACGGTGAATTAGAAATGTGACTCATTAATTTCTTGGCTTGAGATTCTAGAAGCCATAGGGTACTGTCACCAGTAAGGTGACAACCAAGTCTATTTCTATCTCCTACAAAACAATTTACAACACAATCATCTCATTTGTTAAGAAGAGTTAACCACTTAAACTCATCTCTCAGAATTGTTCAGGCAAACAACTAACTTCTCTTAAAACACAAAAACCTACCAAATAACATAAGAAATCTGCTCTCAGGACACCAAATCCAACTCTAAAATATTCTCAAGTAGATGACACCATCAAGTATGACATGTTACCTGAGTGTCTACACGTGTCAGGCACCATGGTTGACACAAAGGAGTATAGAACATGTTATCATAGGTGAGGACCTTTTCATTTGGTCCTCAACACTGTGAGAAAGGCAAAGTGAGGGTGATAATCTTCTGAACAAAATGGGTTCAAAGAAGGGGACCTTAACCAAGGTCCCCCTGCTAGTCAGTAGAAGAGAACAGGTTCTTTCCATGTCCCCAAACTGCACTCAACATGCTTATACTCTAGTTGTAGAGGTAAAAGACAAACTAGAGGAATAGGCAATGCCCTGCACACAGCAGGTACTCAATTAATACCTATTGGCAGTGGTGGCAGCGATAATGTGGTGATAATGGTGGCAGCAGTGATGATGGTAGTGACTATGACGATGATGAGGATGATGGCGGGAGACCATAAGGCACACAAGCTAAATGACGGGCAAAGATGATGGATGCTCATGGAGCTCACCTGAGTCCTCTCCATACCAGTCAGTCTGCACATCCATCATGGAACTCATGGCTACGCCCACACCATCTGGCCTTCCCTCCAAACTGCGAGGAAAGTGATTGTCCGCATCCTCTTTGCTCTGGATGGCACTGTTGCGCAGGAGTGCCTCCAGGAATTGCTTCACGTGCTGGTTACTGTAAGCCAAGTCAACAGCCGGGCCACTGGGCAAAGCCTCCTCCACGTGGGCCAGGCTCAGTGGGGCAGCATACTTCTGCAGCTGTCCCCCAGCCTCCACCTCCACTTCGTCGGCATTAAACTCCACCTTGGGCTCTATCTGTTTGGGCAGGATCAGGAGGTCACTGTCCCCTGAGCCACTGCCCTGGCTGTCTTTCGCCACCAGTTCCAGAGGATGGCAGCCTCTGCAGTCACCACAGGAGGACTCTGTTGGACTGTCCATACTCTCTTCCCCCTCAGCTGGAGAGACCAAGCTCTTGATATCACAGGAAGTCCCTTCCCTGCCTGAACTGGGGCTTCCACTGTCCACCTGATGAGCCGCTGCTGCAGCCGCTGCCGCCGCCGCAGCCGCTGCCGCTGCCGCCGCCACTGCTGCAGCCACAGCAGCCTCCTTCTCCATCTTTCGGCAGATGTCAAGGGATGATCTGATGTACGTCTTGCAGAAGTTCACCACGTCGTTCATCTGCAGGTAGCTGGCGGCCGACATAACTTCAATCACGTTCTCCCCACACAAATCCAGTTTCCCAGAATAGAGGAAGTCTAAGATGGTGGAGAAGGCGTCGGAGGTGACAATGTCCAAGGAGGCGGTGCTGTGCCGCCCGCTGTCCTGGATATAGTGAATGAGCAGGGCTCGGAAGTAGCCACTGTTGGCAAACAAGATGTTCCTGTGGGCCTTGAAGATCCGCCCTTCCACAATGATGCTGCAGTCACAGAAAAAATCCCTCTGTCGCTGTTCATTCAACTCCCCCAAGAGCTTGGCATAATAGGATTGCATCTCCATTTCTCCACCAGCTGCTGCCGCGCGGGAGTAGCGTGGATCTCTGCCAAGATTTTTTTTTTCGGTTAATTCACTTATCCCCACCTTACAAATAAAACGTTCATTTTTTTTTCCTTTTAATTCTTCTAAAAACCCTGGTTCAATAATGTCTATAATATGTGCTGTTTGGGATCTAACAAAAATCAAAAGTTGTCTAACTGGGTTAACTGTTCAAAAACAACAAAAACAACTATAGCTAACCGTATATAAGCACAGTACTTAGTGTTTTACATGGATTCCTTCAATGAATTTTTATAAAAATGTTATAAATATTTATAAAAATATTAGTACTTACTTGTACTCTCCATGGATTGTAATGTTAAAGGAGGCATTGTAAAATATTGTGTAAATATCCTTCTGTTTAGAGAAGGATGCCAATTATGAAAAATTACTAATACATTGACAGAGAAGAGATAGTTCCTAAGAAGATATAGGGTCTTCTTTTCCTTTAGCTAGTCTCCTTTTTTTGTATTGTAAGTACTAATATTATACTTAAAATGTTGTACTTACTAATACTGTACTTATGAGACTTAGAGAGTATAGGAAATGATCCAGCCATAACAGAAACAAGACTCAAAACTAGGTTGGTTAACCTCCAGAGTTCATGCTCTTAGGAATTACATTCTACTTTCTTCAAGGCTCAAAACAGAGATAATACCTGAATCTAAGAATTACAGTTCAGTCTCCAATGTCCCAGTACAGAACTTAGAGACTGACCCGTACGGTCTCAGCTCACACCTATTACCATAAGTTTGTGGAAACATTTGGTGGATGCCTGGGCTAGCCAGCATGCATTCTCCATTCTTATGGTTTTAGTGCTCTCTTTGGCTTTGGTGGAATCATCCTTGTCCCATCTGTGCCCAATGTGCTTTGCATAAAGCTGGCACCATCTCCAGGCTCCAGATGTGTAAGATGTCACACAGGAGAAAACCATCAACATAGCTCACCCTCTGGCCACAGTGATTGGCTCAGGAATGGCCATGTGACATGGTCAGAGCCAATGAAAAGCAATGAAACATTTGCTGGGGGTTCCAAAAAAGCGCACTCTCTGCTCTGTGGGCATGTGGGATGTGAGGATGCTGCTGCCGCATCACAATGGGAACCAGTCTAACAAGGATGACAGTCCAGCTCAGGCAGGAGCAACAGATGGAACCCAGAGACACCATCTGAGCCCCAGCTCATGCTGTGCCAAATGCCAATTAAGTCCCTTTTTGCTTTAGCTGGTCTGAGTTGGATTTTCTATCTCTTGTAACTGAGAGACTCCTAACTGATTGACTCCACAACCCTTGGTTCTCTCCTCTGTATTTTTATGTTCTGGCCCTTCTCTGTCAGTGGACTTACAAGCCTTTTGAAGGCATATGCCATGCCTTATTTGATTTGGCTTCCCCCACAGCACCAGGCAGTGTTTTGGACAAAGCAGGTTTTGCTAAATACAAAGGAATACTCCTTTCTTACAAGCTGCTGAGTAGAACAAGTATAAATAAAGTTTAAAATCCTTCTACTAGTGAGAAAGACAGATGCTGACCTTCTTCCCTGAGCTCTCTCCTCCATCTTTTCCCATCACACAAACCGTATAGCCATCCATCAACTTACCCCTTTTACTTATTGACCTACTGAGCTCAGAGAAGTTCCTACATCATCTCCACCTACTGGAATCCCAAAAGGCCTGGTTAAAGCTGCCAAGCACAGCTAACAACTCTTCAGCACCCTTCCTTTCTACAAATGGAACACAACTACCTCATCCAACCAGAAATGAAGCACCTCCTCCCCTCAGAAAGTCTTTTCACTGGCAAAATAGATCCCTCAAGGCCTAAGAGCTAACTGAATAGACTTTACTTATAAAAGACCAACAATAACCTTATTAAATGGCAATTTAGATCTACTTTATACATATTTATAACAAGTGATGCATTAAGTTTAGGAACTAGAGAACCAGTTAGGAAAAAAAGTAGAGGAGCTTCTATAAGCAAGCAAAGTGACAAACTTAAAAATGAGAACTGACAGCCAGGAAAAGGTAAAAAAAAAAGTTATAAAAATTAGACCTAGAAATTTTTTCAAAATATTAGCCTGAGTCCACTTAGCTAATGATATTAAATGCTCTTATATATTCGAAATGGCCTAAGGACATCACTAAATTATAGCCCAGGGATATAATTGTTGGGTCTCAATCATGAAGATGATTCTTATATTCAATTTAAACTCATGGAAGTTATAATTTTGGGACTTCTTTCATCCAAAGTAGTTAAAATTAACATTTTGGTTCAGAAAGGAAGAGAACTGTCAGATATCTGAAAATTTCTACACTTCCCAAATAAATCAACACTAAGCATTCTCATAAGACTAAGGTAAGGTTTCACTGTCACTCTCACTGCTTCCAACTGCTCCAGCAAAGCCTTCCTGCCACTGCCTTTGACAATCAAAATATTAAGGAAAAACAAGATAAAGGAGGATACTACATTTAAATACTACATCCTATTCTTCCTCAGAACTGAAAGAAAATCTATCAGACTGGTAAAATCACATTTTTCAATGTAATTATAATCACTGTTGGTGGAAAGGTAATTTGGAACACCATTTTAAAGGGGAATTTGGCAATATTTATCAAAATTTCAAATGTACACATCTTTTGCCCCCAAATTTCATTGCTAAAAACTTACTCTTTTGGATGTATTCCCAAAAGTATATCAAATCATAAGTTCAGAGATGTTCATCACACCAGGTTTTTGTACTAGCACAAAAGTAGGAAATAATCTGAATGTCCACCAGTAGGGAATAAGTTAAATCAATGAGCTACATTCACACAGTGGAATACTATGCAATCATGCTTTTAATGAGCTAGAGTTATGTGTCTTTGTGTGAAAAGGTCACCAAGATATATTAAGGAAAAAGGCAAGATGCAAAACAAACTGTACAGTATGATCCCATCTGTGTATACACTTCTGTTGGTATATGTAAGAATTCTTTTTGAAGGTTATATAAGCAAGAGTTAACAACAGATATCTTTGAGGAGAGGGACAAGGGGAAGGGGTGTGTGGAAAGACCTTCACTTTTCATTTATAACTTTTCTGTACTGTTAGGATCTTTTACTGTGTACACATATTGGCTTTTTTTTTCTTTCCTTTTCAGCAAAGAAGAAAAAGGAAGATGGGACAGAGGGATAAGGAGTTGGAAAATCAGGGAGATAAATACTAAGTAGGTACAATACTTCTTAACTTGTAGAATGCTCTTATCTACAGGGCCTCCTCCCAGGGCACTGGCATTTTTCACTGGAAGTGCACCTTTCCACCAATACTACCCAAAACCCATTTCCTGGGGTTTTCTCTCTACAAACATTCTAGATTCTACTGGGTCATATAAATATTTCCTGGTTTTACAAAAGCCTATCCACATACATTTTTCAAACCTTTCTCCAATCCTGCATTTGGCACACCATGTGGAAATATTTATTCACATCAATCCCACATGTGTTCGGTGCTCTGCATCCCGAGAGATGCTAAGGATCACCACTTCTCTCTGAAAGAAGCTCTCGGGGTATACTGCTCCCAGAAGTACATTTATCCACTCTCTGGCAGAGACCCTCCCAACCTTCCCAACAGTTCCAATTCAATTCAACAGTTACTGGCTATATGCAATGCCTGACACAAGGAAGATGCCAGGAGTAGAAAAATGAATGAAGTACAGTGCATGTCCTCCAGGAGAGGGAAGATGCCAACACTACCACCTGCAACAAATTCCCATGTTCCCCTGAGGGGATCACAGGACTGTCTTCATTGCAGCACCAAAATAAGCTCTGAATTCCACCCACAAAATCTTTCCAACAATATTCCTCTAGTCTCACCACAGGAGGATAATGAAAATCTGCTCATCAATTGTTAGATTTTTCTGAGCACTAATCCTCAGCAAGCACTGTAAAAAGTACTTTACAAGCATCAATTAATTTTAACTTCACAATAATCCAGTGTGGTAGACAAAATCATTACATCTTTTTCAGAGGAGGAAATTGAGGTTCAAATTTACAGGTAACATGCTCAAGCTGGGATTGGAACTGACACCGGTTTGAGTCCAAATTTGACATCCCTAACCACTATGCCAATCTGACTCCCTGAAACCTCCAGGACACTGTGAGAAGGGTTGGGGATGTCACTCCTTTCCCCAGTGCACAGAGTGGAGGGGAGCGACTCGGAAGAAGAGTTTTTGCTTCTGTAGAAAGTATTTCAGGGTCAAGTGCATCTTTGATTCACTTGCCAAACTGCTCGAAAAGCAAGGGAATCTCCCCCGTCGGGAGCCAGACCACCCTGCAGAGATCACCAGAACCCGTTACTAGACACGGTTTTTGGCCCCCGGGGGTGGGAATCAAGGCCTTGCCCCTCCCGTGGCCTCCCGCGGAAAAAGTGACCATCGCTGCGACGTCCACTGCCCCAGCCCGGCCGAAATCCTCGCGCACTGGTACCATCAGAAAGAGCGCGCCCAAACCACCAGCCGGACGACGCCGGGGTGGGGGCAGCCCAGTGCCAGAGAAGGAGGCAGACCTGCCGCCGCGCCGCCCCTCCCCACGTCGGAGGGGAGGGAGGTGGTCAGTCATCCAGCGCGGGTTCCCCCTGGGATCTAGGGAGTCGCCAGGGCTGGGAGGTCCGAGGGAAGCCGACCGAGACGGGCATCCCTGCCCGCTGCCCCACTCTCTGGGCGCCCCAAATCCTCCCCACGTCAATGAAAGCGGTAGCGTGAGACCGCTTCTCGGCTCTCACCTTCCAGCGGGTTCCAGCCGCTCCGCCGCCGAGCTATGCTCACCGACACGCCCCCCTTTCATTCACCTGTCGCCCCCTCCGGTGAGAGGCTGGGTGGCTGACCAATCATAGGTGTGTCTGGGCTCAGGAAGGCGGGCCCTTCGGCCAGCAGGTTGGTCAATGGCTCCGGCGCCCCCTCAGGAGGATGCGCTCTGAAGGCTCTAATGCTCGCGTGGTGAT